CGGCCACATTTATTGTGAACGTCCTTGCATGATTGTTCAAATGAGCAATTGTTCATTTTATTTTATTTTATTTTTTTATTATAAAAATATATTTTAGGCTACTTTACGATAGAAAACAAACGTAAACACATATAAGGTAAATATTTTTTTACTGAATAGTCGCTGGATTGATATGTATTACGTTTTCGACCTGAGCCGTAGTTGAAGAATTTGAAAGCACATCGGGCCCCGACTTATAGTTGGCAACGTTCGTTCTTCTTCATATAGCTTGGAGGGTAACCAGCTGGTAAAAACAGTTGCGACGGAAAAGGTGGTGCATAAAATCGGCAACTGGAAGCTCTTCGCGGCCACATTTATTGTGAACGTCCTTGCATGATTGTTCAAATGAGCAATTGTTCATTTTATTTTATTTTATTTTTTTTATTGTAAAAATATATTTTAGGTTACTTTACGAACAAGACCGACGAAAATAAATCGAACGCTGTTATACTTTATAAGAAATTACTATGAATGATTAGTATTTAGATTAACTTTTTAATTATTATAATTGAAATAAAAAATAAAATTAATAAAAAATATAATTTTAAATGATTTTTATTATTGTAAATTCGAATTAGTTAAGTTGATTGTCTAATAAAATAATTTGTGATTAAGAAAATATATAACGATAAGTTACAATGAAATTATAAATATATCTGATATAGAATGGTAATAGAATTTAATTTCTATTTTATATATTAATTTAGGATTAATACCGTTGTTTAACCACATTTGACCGTTAATTTATTTTATACGGTTAAACAGTTAAAGATTTTATAAACGATTAATTAACCGTTAAATTATTTGTTTAATCGTTTTTCGATTAATCAAAAAAAGTCGGTACATACGTACGTACGTACGTACGTATATACGAACTTGCATCTATTTAACTCGTTAGGAGAATCGGCTTCAGGTTTTTTTTTTTAATAACTCTTTGTAATAAGATGACATGTTTAGAGGATGGTGCCCGACATGTATCAATATAACAAGAATGGACAAGTAGAAATGAGGTTGCAGAGAATTTCAACTTAGAACTTTAAATATGAGGATGTAATGAATTGGACTCTATTTAATATTAAAGCAATTGGCGAAGGAAAATTTGGCATGTATATCCAGCAACCAATTAGATAGATACAAAAGGTTGTTGATAGTGACTCTAATTATGTAAAAGCGTGTGAATCATCTAGCATCGTTGTATTCAAGACATGGCCGGTTATAAGAAAAACAATTTTGATTTTTTAAAGAAAGGTAATTTATTTTTTGTATAGTAATTTATCTAATAGTTTATTGAACTAATTTATGATTAAACTTTGACGATGTTTCAGAATGCTAATAATAAAAGTCTTGAAAAATATTTAATAAACTTGCATGGTGGACTAAACTACAAACGCTTAAAGATATTTCATATTAGGTAAATATATTCATGCTGATTTCATAGTGTTAACATTTTGCACTAACGAAAATACACAACCTTATATCGCTAATATAGGATTATATAGGATTGTATAGAAAGTAAAACATATGCGTTTCAGAAGGTGATATTTTTTTGGTATCTGCCCTATATTACTTCTGAAGGTTTATCAGGCAAATGGGTAAATAGTCGTTTACATAAGAAATGAATATTCATGGGTGTGGTGTTATTATTGCTGAAATAACAACTGTTCAGACCCTTTGCAAAACTTGCAGTCAATATTTGCAATGGACTACGATTAGATTTTGTTTTTGAAGCATCTGATACTTTAGATCGATAGTTATACATCATATTAATATGAATTAAACGATTAAATGATCAAGTAAATGGTTATACGATTACGATTACGATTACGATCAAATGACTAAGCGATTAAATACGATTAAACACGACAACGGAATATGATCAGAGCAACTTTATCGATAAAAAAGATGCCACCTCCAGATTTTATTCATCGAAATGGTAACTCCGACTAATTAAAATTTTGACTCCGATCTATTGATTGAAGTGCTTGACAATGCAAATGCAAAAAAGACAAAAAATTGATGAAACTCTTAACAAATCTGACTACTTGGTGGCTCAAAAAATTATACCTTTTCAAGGTACAGTCAACCCCCTCTATAGTCACCTCCTCTATAGTCACAAAATTGGTATAATTACTAATTTATTTTTACCAATTATTTATAACTATATAGAAAATACCTCTATATTAGTCACACCTCTTTATAATCACGGTTTTTTGTATCCTGAAGGTGTGATTATAGAGGGGTTTGACTGTATACCTTTTTCATGTCATTTTAAGACTAAATAATACAACAATCAAGAGATTTTATTTTACTATAATAGAAGATTGTAACCATATACGTATAATATGGTAAACAGTATATACAATATAAGTCTTTATGAATAAACAAATTTAAATCGATATGATTTTTTATCAAATATCGATATATGCTTTATAAAAATTTTAAATGTCAGTTTTATACATTTTTAGTAAAGGTACATATTACAAAAGGAATTAGATAAGCTATTAACCAAGTATAGATCGTAGAATAAATGAAATCTAATGATCGTACACAAAGCACTCAAATCATAAATAATGGGATATTGTCATAATTGTACATTTATTGGTTAGTACACAAAAATCATAACTTTTGATATTGCACTGTATACGTACAGTATCATCTAATTTTTTTTCTAAGCTATAAACAAAAGTATATATCTTAGAAAATCTAAAATGATTTTCTAAATTTGAATTTTGTATATGATTATATAGAATTCAAAAGGGTAAAGCTATTCAGGTTTAGTTATTCAGGTTCAGTTATTCAGGTTCAGCTATTCAGGTTTAGCTATTCAGGTTCAGCTATTCAGGTTCAGCTATTCAGGTTCAGCTATTCAGGTTTAGCTATTCAGATTCTTGACAAGATCAGCTATCCAGTTTCTTTTTTTAAACTTTGAGCAAAAATAATTTGTTAATGTTGATCTTTTTGTATCCTACAGACATGTACGTACGTACGTATCATACAGACATGTACCCTACAGACATTATACATACTATAGTATTGGCCACTCTAATAATACGTATAACCAACTTTAATTGGAAGCACAAACATCTTTGCTTAGTAAAATTTTATATATTTCTCAAAATATTATTTTAACCAATCATACACTATTGTTTAAAGAACATAATAAGGATTGTTGAATATCAAAATTATTTATATATATAAAATTATATATAAAATTATATATAAAATTGAAATATATAATATACAAACCTTACTATATAGTAGACTTGTAACATGTCAGCTGACTGTTGTATACCAAATTTTTTTGAATTTTTAATTTTGATCTAGCTTATATATATATGTTGTAAGTGGGAATTTCTTAGTTAAATTACCCGTAGTATTGTATAAATAATTTTAAATTTCACAAACGCGTCACAATTAAGCACCAATACGTAGCACGAAAGTTATAAAAGCGATACTTGTCATTTACTTCACTGGAAATTGAAATTGAACAAGAGAACTTTTACCTTATCGTTAATAATTAAGGATGAATTGGTTTGTACGTATTAATAGAGTCTCATTTGTATAACAACATTAGCGTTAGTTAGTTCTGCGGTAACCCATTCTTTTCCGTCATAAGATACGTATACATGCATTTCTTTTACATACATATGTATATATGTGGTATGTATGCATGTATGTATTATTGTTTTAAACTTTTTTATCAACTTCAGGTCCGAAAATGAAATAGTGATTGTACAGTATGATAAGTATGATGAAGGTTGACGATATTAACTAATTAGGACAAAAATTTTATGTATATATTAAGACAAATTATGCATCAACTAGAATAAAATAAATAAAATAATATAATGGTGTAATATAGTACGTATAATGTATATACTATTAATGTTAAGTAAATCCATCGGAAGTAAGTATCTGTATTTGGATATAAACTTTAGCGATAGATCTTAGTGATCTACTCTATCAGGTTATCGAGGTAGTTAGCATATGTAAGAGAATACATAGCATATGTAAGAAAGCAATAATCTATCATATATTTTTCTTTATTCAATCAATTTCAAATTGGACGTACGTACTAAAAAACTTGTAATTTGACATGTTGTCATAACCAATCACAAATGAATCTTTATCATGAGTCTTTATCATTCGTTAAATCATTAAATTCATTAAATTCTTTAGATTCATTAATAAATTCCTAAAATTTATAAGATTCCTAAGATTCATTAGATTCATTAGATTCATTAGATTCATTAGATTCATTAACCCCTGTAACCACAAACCATTAACGTTAACCACAGGACCATTCTTTCAAGTATTCCCCTTTTTTCCTAATGCTAACCCTTTCCCTTTATTAACCCCCTTATGATTTTACGTCATCAAACATTTAAACTAAATAGACCAAATTAACAATGTATTTTAACTCAATCAATAAATGATCACAGGTTGTCACATAAATTTGAGCACTTTTGGAAAATCAAGCCGCATCCGTTTGATGCAGCTCGTGAGCTCAACTTTTTTCTTCTACTATGTACGTACGTACGTACGTACGTACTTTATTGATTGATAGGCAATGAATGAATAAACATGTATGTAATGAAGGCTCAATAAACGGTCGTGAAATATTTTTTCCTCTCTCTCTACATATCTGATATTAATATTATCGTTATCGTTATCGTTATAAAAAAAAAAAAAAATCATTAATACCGATAATAATAAATAATTTCATTATATCTATTATTGGATTAATGTACTCTATATATTTACTTATTATATATACATGTTAAATATTCTTGTGCTCACCTTTCGTACAACACTACTACAAAAATAAAGTCCAAAAAAACTTTTCAAAAGACTTACGGGCTCTCTGGGCAAAGAGCATTTCAATGTCCCAAATGCCAGAACCACTTTCTACTACTCGTCAAACTAACTTTTTTCCTTCCGCTGAGCGGCTTAGTTCCTCTGATAACCAGTCTTTTGCCCACCATATACAAACCCTTTACCAACTAGAAGCTCCTAACGCAAATATTTACCTCGCTTTATCTTCTCAACTTCCCGTCTCAAATCTCATAGAAACTTTTCACGCTTCTTCTAAACAAATTGACCTTTGGCTTGAATATGCTAATATTGCTATTTTCGCTTTGGAGTTGGATGTTCGGGAAGGAACAAACGTCAAGAGTGTCGGTGAAATGGACGTTCTAATTCATAAATTCGCTCCAAATATTGATTTATTACAGGAGTTGTCTCAATCAATCTTTAATAACTTAAAAGTCCCTAATGACGAAGAAAAAAGAAAAGTTATTCAGGACTCTCTGGATAGTATAAATGCTGACTGGGTGGATACAAAAGCCTTCTTTGGAAGCGTAAAAAAAGAAATGTCCGAATCAAAACAACGTCGTGAACTTTTAGATACTATGGATCTAATTTTAGCTTCAATAGAAGAATTAAATACAAGTATTTTCGAATATCAAGAACAAAGACTTAGTGGTGAGAATGGAAATGACTTGTTTCATTTTCCAAAATTAAGTTCTAGTCCTACAAATAAATCTTCTAATTTCATTAGTAATAGTTCTCACAATGAGTTTAGTTCGAGATCTGATGTTGCTTTAATGCAATTGGATTCTCGTTTAGAACCTTTATCTGCTAGAATTGAATATTTAAGATCTCGTTTATCTGCTCCAAATGCTCCTTCTGATCCTAATGGTGCTTTAGCAAAAAAAAATATTATTTTATCAAATAAATGGGATGCTTTAAAACATGAAATGGAATCTCTAAGAGAAGAATTAAAAGAGGATAGATGGTTAGGTGTTTTTAAACAAGTAACCGGTAACGCTGGTCAAATGATGGATTCTCTTGAAAGAGCTGTTAGACAATGTAAGGACTTTATAGCAAGAGCTATTAGTAGAGTTGATTCTCCTTTACCTTTAAGAATGCTTCAACAGAATAAAGGATTGCCAATGCTATCTAGATCTTATTCCAAAGATTCTTTACACCAACAACATCAACAACAACAATTATCTGTACAACCTGTTATAGCTATAACTTATAAAAATTATCAAAGATTATATAAAACATTTGATGCTAAAAGAAAATATTATGTTCCAACTGTAACTAAAATGCTTACAATGTTGGCAAATGGAATTAATCAACAAATGACAAAAGATCGTGATGCAATTAAAAAATATAAATCTATGAAAGATCGTTGGGATACAATTCTTGATGGTGTCGCTGAAATACAACACGATATGCCAGGAATAGAAGCTTATCTAGATCATTCTGTTGTATCTAGTAATTCTCCTCCTTCTTCAATACCCTCATCTATAGCTTCATCTCCACCAATGTCCCCTAAAATAAAACCTAGAGGGATGTTTTCTCCTGAATCTGGTTCTCCTCCCACAAGGAGTCAAAGATCTTTATCTCCTCATAGAATCGATTATCTCGATTCTCCATTAAATAATATTAGATCTCCTTCTTTACGTTCAAAATCTCCTTCACCTAGAGCTACAAGTCCTTTAGGTGGTAGTCGTAATTATTTGACTTCTGTAAGTGGTCGTTCTGTTAGTCCTACTCCTCCTTCAGAAAGACCTCCATGGAATCAATATTACAATCAAACATATAATTACAATAGTTATAATAATGGTCTTCATACTATGTCACCTCTACAAGGAAATGGTCGTTCTTCAAGTCGTTCAAGTTCTCCTGTAAGATCTCCTTTAACTCGTGCACTTTCTCCTGAAAGAATAAATCCTTCAAATATACCACGTCCTGTTACCAGTATGGGGATTACTAATAGAGCTCCATCTCGTGTTGGTATGAGATCATTTTTACCTCAACCTAGCACTCCACAACCAGGAATGATGGCATCAAAATCCCGTTTGGGAATGATTTCTCCTCCTCCAATGCGACGCCATCATCAACAAATAAGAACTCCAACACCATCATCCGTTACAAGCAGTTTATCTCGACCAATTACTCCTGAAAATGATGATCGTCCAATGACTCCATTAACTGAACGATTATCAAGTATGTCCGTAGTTAATGATCGTAATTCACATTATATACCACTTAAAAATGATCCACTTGACATTGAAGTGGCGAAAATTGTAAATTCTTTGCCACTTAATGTAAAAGTGGAACGTGCTCCTGGCGGTGGTGGCAAGTATTACTTTGGCCGTGAAAAAAAAGTATTTAGTTGTAAATTAGTTAATTACGCTTCAAGTAATCGAAACAAGGTTATTGTTCGAGTGGGTGGTGGTTCCCAAGATTTGGATATGTTTTTATTAGAACATAGTCTTACTAGCGTGAGAGAAGTAAGATATTAAAAATAAAACTACTTTGGAAATTACTTTTTATAATTTCTATATATAGATAGAAGAGTTATTTATTATTAAGCATTGCATTGTTCTAACATCATTTACTCAGTACATCCTTTTATTTTTAACTATGTTGGTTGCTGTCACTATTCTCATTACTGCTCATCATTTGGTGGTATTGGATCAGCCTATCTTTTATTTTTCCTTTTGGTTTTTCTGTATATACATAGACATTTATGTGTTTTTTTTTTTCTTTTTTTTTTTTTTCCCTATATTAACTATTCGTGATACTTATCAAAACCAATTGGTTTAGTCTCTTGCGATACGCCTATAATATAAATTAAAAAAAAAAAGAAAGAAAAATACTATATATATCGAATCATAAAAAATTGTTGAATTTTTTTTCAAAAAAAATTATTTTAACAAATGAGACCAATCTTTATTATTTTCTTAATAATGAAAGCTCTATTATGTATGATACAATTAATTTAGCAACATAGTGATAATTCACTCATTCTTTTCGCAATGAACTTTTTATCGTGTGTTCATCAATATCAATAGCTTCCCAAGGATAAACCAACCATTTATCAGGTGATTCTTCTGCGGCAAAATATCTGCCTTCATTAACTATACTAGGATCTGGTAATTCCATTAGTTTTTCCTTCTTTTTATTATGAAGTACAAATACTGCCAATTTAGTTTCCGGAACAGGTGTTCCTGCTGCATTTGCTTCTATAAATTTACGTTTCTCTTCTTCAATATCTTTAAGTAGTTCTCGAATTGCATATGCAAGAGTTGTGCGAGTATCATCAACCTCATCTACGATAAGGATGTTTTTACCGAGTAATGGACAAGTATCGGCATATGATGGTCCGAAATGAAGCCATTGAGTTTTTATCACTTGTGCCCCAATTATCTCAGGATCTGATGATGAATCCGATGTGGCAAGATCTTCGTAAAGAGAGAGGCCTATTGCCTGGATTGGAATATTCTTATTATTCTGACGTTTTAGGAAGGTACGCTAACAATAAAAAAAATATGTGGATTACTTAATATATGGTTAGAATAAAGCAAAAACTTTTAGAAGTTGATAAAAAGATTTCGAATTCATAACTAGATTTTCTTTTCCTTTAACAATCAATTCTAAGCTATAACTCTAAGTTACAAGGTATAGGAATATCGTATTTACCAGAATTCGAGCGGGTATGAACCCACCTCCACCTATAGCAATCATAAGATCTGGTTTATATTTCTCATTTATACGATACCGTTCGACTGCTTCTTTTGTAAGCTTATGTACTTGATTATATGAAATGTAAATTTTGTCATCGTTTTGCATTTTGAAACTAAGGTTTGGAATTACACTTTTTTCGAAAGAATTTTCAGATATCAAAGAAATAAAATTTACGTACGTACGTACCACAAAAATTCTTTCGGAGATAAGTTTCACGTGATATTGAGTGCGATAATTTCGTTTCAAAATCATGCAATTATTTGACATTTTCACGTGTAAGGAACAGAATAATTTTCTTTATTGGTTAAAGGCATGAATGTATCAACAAAGAACTATATGATATATACGCAACAAAGTTAGAAATAGTGACACAACTAACTAATTTTGTATAAAGTTGCCAAATTTTTTTCAAAATACTAGTACGTACGCGTACGTACGTACATGCGTAGAACTTTGATATATGCATATGCATATATCAGCCTAAAAGTCTATATGTAGATATGCATTACTTGTTTAAAAAAAAAATTCTTTAGACTTTTTATTGATATGAAACGCGTATAATTACCATCTGCCACTGACTTTAGTACCCGAGTACTACTCCAGAAACCTGTCGAGTTTATTTGATTAGTACTGTACCCTCTTAACGTTAAATGCTAATTACAGATGCCAGTCAACCCCTCGTTAACCATCAACCTCGTTAATATCAACCTCTCGTTAATATCAACCTAAGCTATAGGACAAATTTCCATATATATATTGAAATTCCCTCATATATATATCCATTAATATCACTATCAACATGGATACGTATAAAATTTTTATGGGTAATTTGCCCCCGTTGATATCCTTAGCCAATAAAACTTAAGAATCGCAAGGCACATGATATATAAAATTACGGTAAAATAAAATTTCTAAAATATTAGAATTGTAAAGGGACTCAATTTTTTACCAAGCTTACCGTAAAACGCCGTATAAGGTACCCGGGTATCTTACAATTCACATGATAAAAATTTGATTTGTACCCCCCGGGTACCTTGTATGGAGGAGGGTATATTATATGGGGGGTATCTTGTGAAAAACATATATTAGCCCATTAGTAAAAAAAGATTTTCATTATTAAATCGATCCTTGATTTATACCCGGGTCTCTTACAAAACACCACAACAAATAACCTTGAAACATACCCGGTACAAATCAAGGGGGGTACCTTATACGGCGTTTTTTTTTTTTTGAATATTAATGGTGAGACCACCTTATACGGCGTTTTACGGTAATGTTCTAATAGAAGTTGTATAGAACATTCATACGATTCTAACGCAGGTAAAATCATCAAATTTGGTCTAGTAGATCAAGAGATATTTACATTTTGCGTTTTACGTCTGGTCTGAAGTCTGCAGACTGGTTTGAGTAAGGATAGAAATCATAAAGTCATTAATCGATTAATCAACTATTAGTCGACTAATCGACTAAATTTTATTATAATCAGTCGATCGATTAGTTGATTAGTCAGCTAGTCGACTAATCAACTAATCAACTTATCGACTAAGTCAACTAATTGACTAATCAACTAATTGGATAATTGAATAATAAACTATATACAGTATTAGTTAATTATATAATTGACTAGTTATTATAATTAATCAAAGATTAACAGGCAAATTTAATTGGTTAACTATTGTTTATATAGATGTTCTATAGAACAGGTGGGCAAACTTCACAAACTTTGCAACTCTAATATTAAAAAATTAATGATTATTAATTATTAGTAAAGTTTATTTTTTATATTCTTTTTTTTTTCCTTTGGCAATCCTGTTTACTTTATTATGAGAACAGACTTTCATTCCTACATCGGCATACGAAGAAATCTAAAATCTATAAGTGTTTCAACCAAAGAGTAAACTCACCCCCGACGTACCTCGCAGATGTCAAAACATCCACTTGCGGTCAGGGCGAACCATTAAACTGCTGTGTTTTGTTCAGATGCGACCTGCCTAGCAACACTTGGCCTCCTCCAGAGATCCAAAACTCATTTCGGACTTATTTCCCCCAGATTCCTCGGCTGGCTGTTGCTCGGCCCATCAAGATTCCTGCTCTACAATAGAATGTTGCCAAACTGATGACACTTTCTCGTAGAGAAGGAAAAAAGAAAAAAAAAGGGGAATAATAGGGAACGAAAAAAGGGT